AAATTATATGTGTATATATATATATATATATATATATATATATATATATATATATATGTTCAGATATCCACATCCGAAGTTTTGATTTAGATATGAAATGTAATTCATGCCTATCTAATTATATTTTTTATTCTTAATTGTTTTTAATAATTTGATTATTTGATTTTTATTCTTTTAATAATTTGATTAATTAGTTTTTATTCTTTTAATATAAAAAATAACTATAAAACAAATATTAAAACAAAATATTTCAAATAATTAAATCAGAAAATTTAATATTTTAGAGAAAAAAAAACAAAATAGCTTCAAATTATAAAAAAGATATAAAACTTTAAAACAATTGAAAACAAAAAAAATTAATAAATTTAACTAATTCCTTAATATATTATTTGAAATAAATAACTATACATTCTATAAAATTTATTATTTCATTAAAAATAAATAAATTTAATTCAAATCTTTATATAAATAAATAAATTATTAAAATATAACAATTTAATTAAAATAAAATTCAATAATACGATAACCGAATATTTAAAATAAAATATTAATTAATTAATTAATTAAAACCACCAAAAAATAATTTTAAAAAAAGTTAAACACAACATTAAATGGCTAAAAAATATTTAAAGAGAAACATTAAATGGCTAAAAAATATTTAAACAGAACATCCGATCGAGTCCCATCAGCTCTTTAGCCACTTTAGTTTTTTAAAATATTCAAATCATTTTAATTATGAGATAAGTTAGGTATTTTGAAAAAATTTAAAGCTACAGGATGAAACCTCTAAAACAATTTTCACTTTATCAATGCTTAACAATCTCGGTTAAAAATATTCAAAATATTCTCTATATTCTTTCATGTAACACATGACCAGTTGAGAACTACAAATATAATAAAAGCAAGTTATCACATTATTTCATATAACATTTAACAATTACACCACATTATTCAAATTAAACATTTATCAATATTAACAATTTGTCTTATTTTGTAAAAACTTGTGAAATGGACTCAAATACACTTATCATATTAGTTTGAAAATCTATTCCATACACTTTTAACTAGCAATCATATAACACATCTAATTTAAAATTTCACTCATACGACCTATATAATTTAATATATGTTTTATGCGTACATTACTTAAAATTTCACTCATACGAATTATAAATTTAATATCTGGTTTATGCATACATTACTAGTTATTAATATCTATAAGGAATATTAAATATATTGCAAATATATAACTACTACCATCACAAGTTTTTGAAGAAATCACTAAAAATATAGTTATTCCACACAGACGTCGATCATTGATTAGTCACACTAAGGAAAACGCTTAAAGGCCACCACGAAGGCGAAGGACAAGGTGAAGGGTGGATTCTTTCTGAATGTTGTAGTCTGCCAAGGTACGACCATCTTCCAATTGCTTCCCAGCAAAAATAAGCCTCTGCTGATCTGGTGGGATGCCCTCCTTGTCCTGAATCTTTGTCTTCACATTATCAATTGTATCAGAGCTTTCCACCTCCAAGGTAATGGTTTTCCCTGTCAGAGTCTTCACAAAAATCTGCATGCCACCACGAAGCCTCAAAACCAAGTGCAGAGTGGATTCCTTCTGTATGTTATAATCCGCAAGGGTCCTTCCGTCTTCAAGCTGTTTCCCGGCAAAGATAAGCCTCTGCTGATCTGGGGGGATACCCTCCTTATCCTGAATCTTTGCTTTCACATTGTCAATTGTATCTGAACTCTCCACTTCCAAGGTTATGGTCTTTCCTGTCAAAGTCTTGACAAAAATTTGCATACCACCTCTCAAACGAAGCACCAAGTGCAGGGTTGACTCCTTCTGAATATTGTAATCAGCAAGGGTCCTTCCATCCTCAAGTTGTTTACCAGCGAAAATAAGCCTCTGCTGATCCGGAGGGATTCCCTCTTTGTCTTGGATCTTGGCCTTGACATTATCAATGGTATCAGAACTCTCCACCTCCAAGGTTATGGTTTTTCCAGTCAAAGTCTTTACAAAAATCTGCATACCACCCCTTAACCGAAGCACCAAGTGGAGGGTGGACTCCTTCTGAATATTGTAATCGGCAAGGGTTCTCCCATCCTCAAGCTGTTTACCAGCAAAAATCAGCCTTTGCTGATCCGGAGGGATACCCTCTTTGTCCTGGATCTTAGCCTTGACATTATCAATGGTGTCAGACGATTCTACTTCAAGGGTTATGGTCTTGCCAGTCAAAGTTTTCACAAAGATCTGCATCTGTTCAATCAGAAACTAAACCGTCAATAACATAGATATGTAGGCATAGTTCGACCACATACTCTAGCCTCAGAAATGACAAAAGAGTTCAAATAACAAACCCCTAATTATAAACCGAGGATGTATATGGGAAGTTTGGCTAACAATAAACCTATTACAGAATCTATCAGACCAGAAACTCTACTTCAACCACAAACCCCAGCCCCCATAAATGATTAAAAATAATTGAATCACAAACCCTAAATTAAAAACCGACAAAGCATACGGGACATTTTGCAAGAAACAAACAGAGTACAGACCCCAATCAGACCACAAATATTGCATAAAACAAACGGATTAAAGAACAAGAAAAGGTGATATAATCAATTCTAGTTCCACGACAAAAAAAAAACGACCAACAAAGATTAACGTAAGTAAAAGATCGAGACGTGGATATGATCAACAAAGAAGACCCAAAGTATAACTCAATAAACTGAGGTTAATCAGATTGCTTTTTAATGAAAAAACTAAGAAAAAGGGAGAGAAGAGAAAGGTACCTTGAGAATTGAGACGGAAACTCGAATCGAAGGATTAAAATAGCTAGGGTTTTGAGATTGGGAATATAGCGTATCGATATATGCGAAGAAGGATGACGAAGGAGTAGTATTTATAATGTGGTTTTGCTTACTGAATGACCAAATATCAATGGACTAACCAATAATAATATGCCACGTGTATGGTTGTTGTAACTGATACGGCAAGATAAGCATTACTTCATGGATTACGCTTCCTTCTAGGTTAATCTGGTAGATTCTATGTTTTGTTTTCCTAATATCGTCAAAGATAAGATATAAAGGAATTTTCTTGCGCCAATATATCTCTTAATTTTTTTAAAGCAAGCTTTTAGATATGTATGATAGCAAAAATCTAAAGAATTTTATTTTTTTATATTTATAAGAAAATAAATTAAGCAAATTGCTTTTATAAATTAAATATTTATTATTTTTAACTAACTTTTATAATATGTTAAAAATAAGTATATATTAAGCTTATGGTAACTTTATATTTTACTTATTTAGTTTTATAGATTTACACTTATTTACTTTTAATTTGAATTATAATAAAATACAATTTAACAATATAAATAGATTGTTTTATTGTATTATCGTATCTGTCTATGATCTGAAAAGGTGAAACATATTAAATATTTATTATAGTATCTTTTAATTATTTCATTAATTTTTATTTAAAAAATAATTTTATTTATTATGAAATATTATTAATATATTTTTAACGAAAATATTATATATATATATATATATATATATATATATATATATATTATTTATTCATTCATTGTTTTAGTTGTGATATAAGATCCAATGACAAATAAAATTGTTTACACCTGTTCTTATTAAAAATTTATCTTTATTTCAATCCTTAACAACTATAACATTTTTTACTCATTAACTTTAGGGTGTTGCTCCCACTACCACCCCAAGTGCTCTCACCTCCTCACTATTTTCTTTTATTCCAAAAATACTTTAGGTCTCTCCACTATTTTTTTTTATTCCAAAATTACCCTACACCTCCCCACTATATTAATAATTTTTCTCTTTTTCGCATTCACGTGGTTCAGATTTAAACTTATGATATATTGCAAAATTTTATTTACACTTTTCCTTAAATAAGCTTGATTCAATCTTATTTTCACTATTCAATATATTTTTTACTTCAAATCACTTAATAAATGGTAAAATTTTGTTCTAAATTTCTAGAAAAATGTTTATATATATGTGTGTTTCTTTTATATTTAATATCTATAATTTTTAACATTATATTATGTTTTAACTTATCGACATGTTTGACTCAAATAACTTGAATAAAATATTTAATTTATTAGATAAATAATATAAAAATATTATTAAATATTTAAAATATAAAAGAAAAGTTATTTGTTAAAGATTTGGTATTTATTTAGTTCTTTCGTCATTATAAAGTTAGTATATAATAATAATAATAATAATATATTATTTACTATTAATATTATTATGATTATTATTTTGTATTTGCATCTAACCTTTAAGTTTATAAAATGGAAGTGGTAGAAGCACTAATATTGAAGTTTCCTCTCAATTTTATATTTTGCAATATATCACAAGTTTAAATCTAAGCCATATGAATGCTCCATTAATGTGGAGAGAGAAAGAGAAAGATAATGTTCCATTAATGCAGAGAGAAAAAGATAAAGATTGTTGAGGATAGTGGGGAGATGTAAGGTATTTTTGAAATAAAAAAAAATAGTGGGGAGGTGCAGAGTATTTTTGGAATAAAAAAAAATAGTGGGGAGATGCAGAAGTACTTGGGGTGGTGGAGGGAGTAACACCCTTAACTTTCTCATCCAAAACCAACATACCCATATTCATGCTCATATTGTTCTTTATTGTTTTAAATATTAATTTAATAATATTTTTACAAAAAAAAATAAAATAAAGAGAACATAATACTTTTTTTATCAAAATTATATATTATTTCTTCTCTTTAATATAAAATATTTAAAAAGTTATAATTATATAAATATCAAATAAGATTATCAAATAAAAATTAAATTAATATCAAATGATTATGGAAATTAATGAAAGATGATTAAAGATGTATCTATAAATAAGTTATGAAATTAATGACCAAAGAAAAATTAACACGACGACTTATTTGGATTATCTAAAAAATTTAAATTATTCCAGTAGTTTAAAATAAGTAAGGATAAAGGACAAAAATGAGTATTAAACGGATGAGTATTAGACGGATGAGACAAATATATACATAAACATTATTGTTTCCATATCCAATTTGAAATAATTAGAAATTACATATACTCACACCTAGTCAGGATTTTTTATCAAAATCGAGATAGATTTGAAGAATTATTATGATATAGTTCATTTTCCATCCCTAACGATGTGTTCGTTTGCGTGGATACTCCTATTCACGGTGATATGCGAAGATAGATTTGTGAAAAAATTATGTTCGCTTGAGACGATTTGCACAGAAGAAAAAGCGAGGATTTGCGAGATTTGGACATTATCAGCATCCTGCTAATCTGAGAAGATTTGCGATAATTTGGGCGGAAAAGATTGCTTTGCCTTGTACTATTTCAAAATTTCCAAGCACACCATTCAACCATGATTAACATAAAAAATGCATACTCGATGAAAACGTTATTCCCAAGCATAGTAAAGATAATATAAAAAACGCATGCACTGTGCTTTCACGAGTAGGGACGACTCGTGAAATGGGTTCCCTGAACCTGTACATGTTGAAGGATATGGTTTTTAATTGCACAAGGCTAACCCTTTGTATGTGTTGCAGGTTTTTTGAAAGATTAACGTGCGTTTGGTCAGCTAATAACTTCATGTGAGGGATAAGTACTCTGTCCAGGTTAGGCACATGTGTTGTGTCCATTTCGTTTTTGAAAATTATTGTTAAACAGAACCTTGTGCTTCCAATTTGGAATTTGATGTGTTGGTTACAGAAGATGATTGAAAATTTTTACTGAACTTTGTCTTATACTATGAGTAGAGCATGTTTTAAGGTTGGAAAAAGCTTGGTGGATGTATGCGAACAATTTATGATGTATTACCTTGTGTTGACCTTCATAAATGGTTGTGTTTAGGCACTATTTGGTGGTCATTGAAGACACATGTTGAGAAAAGGTACATATTTAACCAAGTTTTATGTTTTTAAACCAGTACATGATATAACATATTCATGTATTTTCTTAACAGGTTTCGTTTGGAATTGTTACTGTTATATTTAAATCTTCAGAATTGAAATATCCATCTTATATCTTACTGTGGGGCGTATAGCATTCGTTCAATCTTCCTTCAAATTTGCTGAAATCTTCATAAGTTTGAAAGTGAAATAGGTATGTTTTATATTATTGTATTCAATTTATGTGCATGAAATTGATAATACTTTACTCAATATACATAATTATATATATATATATATATAATTATATATATATATATATATATAATTATATATAAATATGAATGTAATTTTTTTATTTTGTTAATAAAATATAATTATATGAATATATGAAATTAATTATATTGTTAATTTTAGTTGTCTTTATATGGTTGTTAAAATTTATATTCCTCGTATTGAAGATAATTTGGCAAACCTTTCTCTCGACATAAACCGCCAATTTGTTAACCTCAATCAGAATGTTAACTTGATTCTTCATCATTTCGATGACTAAGTTCATTTTTATTCCGATAATATATTACATTACTTTTTTTTCCTTAAATTGACTTATGTGTTTGAAATATTACCTTACCTATATTTCAATGTTATTATCTTCCACATCATCTATGCTAGTTTTATTTATTCTCAACCTACTGATCTCCAAATTAGATGGACTCTGAAATCATTGATGAACTGCAAAAACAAATTAATCAATCAACAAGACTATGTGTTGCTCTTCAACGACATACACAAGTCATGGAGCGTCGAATATCCCTCGTAAATGCTAGGATTCAATCATCGAATCCAACTACAGAAGAAATTGAAAACTTATTACGGACTATGAACATTGAAGATCATAATTTATTCAGACAGTACTTCGACTTTTTATTTACACATCCATCCCATACAAGACGTCTGATAGGGATACCTATACAATATTGTTTCAATGCATTGCAACGATACCTTACTGAAGCAACGTCATCATGAACTATTACAAATATATTTGTATGTTTAATTGTTGCCACTTTTTTTAGGTACTGTAATATTATAACTTCCTTTAATTATTTGTTTGTTTAATATTAATCATTCTCACTTCCGTAACAAATAAATTGATACTACTTGGTAGTAAATTATATTACAAACAAATACTACATTTAAAAATAAATTCATTTTACTACATTATAATTTTTATAATTTTAAAAAATTAAATTTAAAAATTATTTATAAATATTTTTACAATTAAATATAACATTAATAAATAACATTTTATATTACTTTTATAACTAGGGGCAGGTTTGTAATCTTTAATTTCTACCAATTAAACTAATTTTTTAAATCTATCACATCAATAAAATCCTATACTAATTCTCACAAACTTTACTTCCAAATCCACTCTCAATTATCCACAAATCCACTAAAAAAAACAACTAAAAAATTACCCTCAAATCCACTCAAATAGAGAAACGGGTAGGTATATATTCACTCTATCTTTGTCTCAATATCGATTTATGTTTTGAATTACTAAAATGCACTTAATTTATTAGGTAATCTAACAAATTTATATTAATTTTTCTTTGGTCTTTAATCTGTAACTTATTTTTACAACACACATTTGATCACTTCTACTCTCTTTTATATTTATTTAACGTTTATAAAATTGTTATTTGATACTCTTATTCAATATTCATATAATTATAATTTTTTTGTTTATACTTAACATTGGAGAAAAGAAAATTGTGTATCATTTTGACAGTGAATCATTGATAATAATATTCTTTTTTGTGATTTAAATTTTATGTTACAAAAATTATCTAATTAATAGATGGAATAGTAAATAAGTGAGAAATGACATGAATATTTCTTATCTGTTGAAACAAAAATAAATATAAATAATTTTAATAATTTTATTGTAAATAATTTTTACTTAT